GGCTGGGTGGTGGGTGGATGGATGGATGGATGGAGGATTGGATGGGTGGTTGGGTGGATGGGTGAACGGATGGAGGACGGATGGACAGACGGATGATTGGGTAGATGTTTGGATGATTAAATACCTGGGTGGTGGATGGATGGATGGATGGATGGATGGATGGATGGATGGATGGATGGAGGATTGAATGGGTGATTGGGTGGATGGGTGAACGGATGGAGGACGGATGGACAGACGGACGATTGGGTAGATATTTGGATGATTAAATACCTGGGTGGTGGATGGATGGATGGATGGATGGATGGAGGATTGGATGGGTGGTTGGGTGGGTGGTTGGGTGGATGGGTGAACAGATGGAGGATAGATGGACAGACGGACGATTGGGTAGATATTTGGATGGATTAATGGTTGGGTGGTTGATAGATGGATGGGTGAGCGGATGGAGGACAGATGGACAGACGGATGATTGGGTAGATGTTTGGATGATTAAATACCTGGGTGGTGGATGGATGGATGGATGGATGGATGGATGGAGGATTGGATGGGTGATTGGGTGGATGGGTGAACGGATGGAGGACGGATGGACAGACAGACGATTGGGTAGATATTTGGATGATTAAATACCTGGGTGATGGATGGATGAATGGATGGATGGATGGATGGATGGATGGATGGATGGATGGATGGAAGATTGGATGGGTGGTTGGGTGGATGGGTGAACGGATGGAGGATGGATGGACAGACGGACAATTGGGTAGATATTTGGATGGATTAATGGTTGGGTGGTTGATAGATGGATGGGTGAGCGGATGGAGGACGGATGGACAGACGGATGATTGGGTAGATATTTGGATGATTAAACACCTGGGTGGTGGATGGATGGATGGATGGAAGATTGCATGGGTGGTTGGATAGATGGGTGAACAGATGGAGGACGGATGGACAGACGGATGATTGGGTAGATATTTTGATAGATACATGACTGGGTGGTGGATGGATGGATGAGCGATTGGATGGATGGATGGGGACATGAATGGTTGGGTAGATGTCTGGATGGATGAATGACGGGCTGGATGATAAATTGATGGAGGGATGGATGGGTGGTTGGATGGATAGATGGATAGAGGGACAGATGGATGCATGGAGAGAGAGATGGACAGCTGGAGGATAAATGGATGGACAGTCCTTGTCCCTCCCACTGTCCCCCACCAGCTGGCACTAGGTTTCCCACTTGCTTTCTCCCAGACTCTCCACCCTCCTAATCTCCTTCCTGCCTCCCCGTGTCCAGGTCCCTCAGATCCATTTCTGTGGGGCTGGTGGTCTCTCCATCAGTGTCACTCCAATCCCCAAGTTGGCTGTTATTCTGTCTTCTGACTCCACGGGAGTCTGGACCCCTCACCTTCCAGGATCAGGCTTTGCATCTCCTCAGTTTCCTTCCCATCCTCCACAGACAGTCAGTGGACTCCTCCTTGCACCACCATGACCTTTCACTCAGTCCCTGTCTCCCTGTGATGATTCATTCATTCATTCCATCCACAGGTATTTATTGACCAAGAGCGATGGCTCACACTGGTAATCCCAGTGCTTTGGGAGATTGAGGTAGGAGGATGATTTGAGGCCAGGAGTTTGAAACCAGCCTGGACAACCTCATCTCTTAAAAAAAACAAACAAACAAAAAACCCCAAACCAGGCATTTATTGAGTATCTACTATATTCCGGGCACTTCCCTTGGAATAGGACAGTGGATAAGACATATAATAAATCCTGTCCTTGTAGGGTTGACAGTCTCATGGAAAGACAAGCAGTAAACAAGACAAAGAAGATGACACCGGGTAGACTGGATGAGAGGTGTCTTGGGGAACAGCCTGTCAGATGGTGGGCTCTTCCCTGGAGGCTCCTGGTCTGGCCAGTTCCTTACCGCTTAGGTACAGCCTTCAGGCTCTCCTGTTCCCTACAAGCTCCCCTATGCAACTCGCACTGGGTCTTCCTGGACATTCCTGTCCCCCGGGGCCACCTCCCCACACACAAGTTTCCCTCTCGGGCCCCCTAAGGACCTGGGTGTTCCCTGACCCCAGACTCTCCCTCCCCCAACCTCACTGGAAGCTTCTGGCCAGCATAGATACCCTTCCAGTCAGCTGCCCAAAGTTCTGTGGGGGGCCCTGGGGACAAAGTTCAAAGAAGGTTCCCATGGGAGGGACTGGGCAGAGGCGTCACTTCCTCAGAGCCAGGAACAAAGGAACGTTGAGGGCAAAACAAAGGTGGAGGTGGCTCAGTCAGAGGCCAGGCAAGCTGTCCCAGTTCTGTCCCCAGCAGTTGGCATCAAGGGAATCCCTCCGTCCCAACTGTCCCTCCTAGCCTTCCATTCTCCCGGCAAGGGAGCCCATTTCACAGATGGGAACACCAAGGCTTAACACCGAAAGCAACTGCTGGTGGGGGGCATTCCCCCTGCTCAGCATCCTAGGGATGGGTCTTTGGGTAGGTAAACTGAGGAAATGTGACACCCCAAAGCCATTTGTCTTCTTCTGCCCATCCTCAGAGTGAGGGTGGGCCATGCTGTGTGCCCTTGGACAAGTCACACTACCTCTCTGGGCCCCCTCTCGGTACCTGCTAGATGAGTCCGACATCTCCCATCCTCCTTACCTATGCAACTACAATTGGTCAGCAAATACAATTTAAAGTAGTGATGGGGCCAGGCACAGTGCCTCAAGCCTATAATCCCAGCACTTAGGGAGGCCGAGATGAGAGGACTGCCTGAGCCCACAGGTTTGGGACATAGTGAGATCTCATCTCTACAATAAATCAAAAAATTAGCCAGCTTTGGTAGCGCGTGTCTGTAGTTCCAGCTACTTGGAAGGCTGAGGCGGAAGGGTTGCCCGAGCCCAGCATGTCGAGGCTGCGGTGGCCGGGAGCAGCCACTGCACTCTAGTCTGAGTGACGGAGTGAGACTCCAACTCAAAAAAATAAAGTAAAAAAATAAAAATAAAGTAGTGATGAATTTTTTTTGAGACAGGGTCTCGCTATGTTACCCAGGCTGGTCTTGAACTCCTGGACTCAAGCGATTGTCCCACTTCAGCCTCCAGAGTAGCTGGGATGGGACTACTGGTGTGTGCCAACACACCCAGATGTTTTTGCATTTATTCATTCAACCAAAATTTGTCTGACACATGAGAAAAATAAGGAGGATTTTCTAGAAAGATTCCATCAAAATACGTGTGGGTCAACTCTGTGAGTAGGAGGAACATAGGAGCCTTTACTTCCTTTCTAGACTTACCTGCTCAGAAGTTGTTGTTTCAGGCTGGACGTGGTGGCTTAAGCCTGTAATCCCAGCACTTTGGGGAGGCCGAGGTGAGAAGGTTGCCTGAGCTTGTGGGTTCGAGGCCAGACTGGGCAACTTGGCAAGACCTCGTCTGTACAATAAATCAAAAAATTAGCCGGTGTGGTGGCATGCGCCTGTAGTTCCAGCTACTTAGAAGGCTAAGGCAGAAGGAACATCTGAGTCCAGCAGCTCGAGGCTGCAGTGGCCACGAGCGTGACACTGCACTCCAGGATGGACGTCAGAGTGAGACTTCAACTAAATAAAAAAAAAAATTTGCCGGGCACGATGGCTCAAGTCTGTAATCCCAGCACTTTGGAAGGTCGAGGTGAGAGGATTGCCTGAGCTCATGGGTTCGAGACCAGCCTGGGCAACTTGGTAAGACCTCGTCTCTGTAATAAATAAAAAAAACAAGCCGAGCATCATAGCACGTGCCTGTAGTCCCAGCTACTTGGAAGGCTGCGGCAGAAGGATTGCCTGAGCCCAGCAGGTTGAGGTTGTGGTGGCCGTGAACACGTCACTGCACTCTAGCCTGGGCAACAGAGTGAGACTCCAGCTCACAAAATAAGACAAGACAGAAGCTGTTGTTTTTAACAAGGTACTCATCTTTCTTTTAAGTCCTTTCTGGTGGGGACATTGGTTTCATGGATAGATTCCAGGACTCTGGGGGGTCTGGGACCAGCTGGTGGGAGGACCTGGGCCCGGGGCTGAGATCAGAAGGGAATGCCACTCTACTGAGTCCACTGTGTGCCTGATACTCCACCAAGCAGCTGAGAGATGGCTCCCTCTGTCCTCACAACAGCCCGATGACATGGGTTCCTGTCTACAGATGGGGAAATCGAGGCATGAAAGGCCTGTGAGCCTGGCTGCAGCCCCACAGCTGGGTGGTGCTGGGGCTGGGACTCGAACCAGGGTTATCACCTTCAACCTCCCACGCCCAGCCACGTCTGGCAGTTATCTCTCCCTGTCTGACCTTCTCTGCGTGTCTCTCTCCCTCTTGGTCTCTCTGTGTCTCTCCCTGTCTCTGTTCTCTGTGTATCTTTGTTGTGTCTCTCACTGTCTTCGAGCTTCTCCACGTCTCTGTCCCCTCTTGGCCTCCTGCTGTCTCTGATTTCTGTGCATCTCTGTCATGTCCCTCACTGTCTTTGAGCTTCTCTGCGTGTCTCTGTCCCCTCCTGGTCTCTGTGTCTCTCCCTGTCTCTGCCCTCTCTCCCCAACTTCCTCCTTTTGGTCCTGGCCTCATCTCTCTGTTTTCAGGGTGCTCTTCACAGCGCCGGCCATGGGGACAAAGTTTCTGTCTGTCTTGTTCCTGGGGGATGTCCCAGTACTCAGAGCAGCGCCTGGCCATGATGCTCAATAAACATCCCTGAGTGAAGAAAGGAACCAATGAATGAATGAACTCCCTCAGAAGGGCAGGATGGCTCCGTTTGCCAGATGCGCCCACCGAGGCTCCAGGCGGGCGCCCACAGGCCCCCAGCGGCCAGCCCAGGAGGTTCCCAGGGCCTTGGCACTGACCCCCTGGACTCTGTCCCCAGCCACTTGCCCAGCCGCACGACGTGCCATGGCCGCTCCTCCCCGCCCTCGGAGCAGGGTGGTGCCCTCCGGCCTCTCCCGCTGTCGGAGGCGTGGGTAGCAGCCGGGAGAACCGGCTAGGTGCC